AGTATACTCACAAAACATATTTATCACTTTTTATCTCTTTTTCATAGCAATGGATGACATGATATACAATGTTAATAAATACATGAATCATTCATATTTTAATAGACATTCATCAAAATAATATAATTATCATTTTTTAGTTCAATGAATGTTTGAAAGAAACTAGCAGAGTATGACTTAGCAAACTTAGTACAATTAGGTTACATGGAAGCAATGATTAGGCACAACCTATTGTACACAAATCACACCTTAAAGAATATAGAACTTTAAGCTTAAAGGTGTGTTAGGAGTTATACCTTCATTTACCTCTTTGGAATCTTCACCCATACATTTCCTCTATTGTTTATCTTGGTGATTTTCATTTCATCATTCTTCTTCTTGTAGGAGCTGATTTTGCTCTTTAGATTGAACACTCTTGTTGTGCATTTCCTCTTGAAGTCCTTGGTGTTCTTTGAGATTCCACCTACAAAATATCTTGATTTCTTTCTTGGTACCCATACTTTCTTGGGTCCATAGGGATTACTCTCAAGAACATTTAATCTCATAAAAGGTTTAGGAGGATCAAAACCAATGCCTACTTTGTCAAAAATACATTTTTTATTTCCAAGAAGTTTGTTGAGGTTTTCTTTTCCTTTTACAAAATTTTCAAGAGCTTTGTTTAAATCCTCAACATTGTTTTTCAAAATGTTTTTCTCATTGGCAATAGAAGTAAAGTCAAAATTGATCACCTTTGAGCTGAGGTCCCTTAAGGTCTTGTTGGAGCTCTTGAAGGTGGTTTGGACTTGTATTTGTGCCTAAAGTTGTGCTTGGCTTCAAGAGGTATAACACTTGTCTTTTAAACTTATTTTAATGCACTTGTTTCTCTATCTTTTCCCACTATTTTTGGGCCATTTCTGAGCTGTAAAAATCTCTGTTTTAATGGGCTGAAATTGGTGTTTTAAGCCATTTAAGGTTAGGGGGTGTCTCACCCTTCTTCATTCCTTGCTTCTAAGGCTTTTGCACCTTTGTTTCCCACTTTCAAACCAACCTTTTTTGGGCCTTTAACCAATGAATTTCAGAGTATTTTCAGTGGTAAAAAACATGTTTTGAAGTTCAAAATTGGAGGGGTTAGCCTCCTCTCCTTGTGTCTTGTTTGCTAGCCTAGTTAACTCCATATGTTAGCATGATTTTCTAGCTTTTTGTAGTTATATTCTAGCATGTTTTTGCCTTTGTTTCAGACTACTTTAGCTCTTTTTTGGGCTATTTGGGTCAGTTAAGTCTTCTTTTGCATGGTTGTAGTGTAAAGGTCCTCACAAGCTTGGTGTTTTAGACTATTAGACATCCCTTGTTTGAGTTAATTGCATGTTTTGGTTTTGTTGTGCATTTCATATCAGCACCTAAAGCTCTGCAATCTCCCTCATTTCTTCACTCTTTATTTGCTTTAAAGGTTGTTTCAAACTTGGGATTCTTTAAGCTTGAGATTACGATCCATGCTTAATGGTTTAATCCTCTTTTAAGGGTTCATTACCAACAGCATGAAACTTCTCTCATGCCTTAAACCATCCCTTGGTTGACACTTCTTTCACTTTAGAAAACTTTCACCAATGGACTTAATTAACTAAGTAATGGTTAGTAATTAAAATGAGTAAATAAAAGTGGCAAGTAAAATTGTGTAAGGTAAGCATTTGTTTGTGTAGCATTTGTTTGTGTGGCATGTGTTCAATTGGATGTTAATTGAATACAAGAAACATTGGGGCATTTCATACTCAAAGTGATGAAATGTGCCAACTTTCCAAGGTCTCCATTGCCCTTGATCTTGCATGATAGGGTGATGGTTGTTGAGTCTTGTTCGTGCATTCATTAATTTGTACATCTTGGTTCTTTGGCCATCATGCAATGAAATTGCTTGATTGGTGGTTTTGGAACCAAGTGTATCACTCCTTTGAGATTGTTTTGATGATAAAAAGGGATACATAGTACAAACAACCTGTGCGAATACCCTCTCTTTGCCTTATTTTCTCTCTATTGCAGTAAGGAAATGTGTGTCATCAGTGGCCTGGCCAGCAAGCCATCAGTGTTGAGCAGTGTGCTTATGAGGCATGGCAGAGTTGATCTAGAGAAGGAAATAGTGCAAAGGTTGTGCAAACAGAGGCTTTCAAGGGCAAACAGCGGATGTTCTTCGAGTGAAAACCGAGCATGCATGGGCCTCCCTCGCTTCTCGAGACGAGTTATCTAGTTAATTAGTTTAATTTAATTAGCCTATTTTGTAATTTAATTAGTTTGTGTTGTACTCTTTAATTAGTTAGTTGTAGCTAATTAATTTGTGTTGTAATTATTCAATTAGTTAGTGAACTAATTAGTTCAAGTGTTGTAATAATTAGTTAAATTAGTTTAGCTATTTATTCGGTTTTGTAATAATTAGCTTAATTAGCTTAGTTTAGCTAGCTAATTAGCTTTTATTCATTCGGGCTCTCCTTCGTGAGAGCGTAATGTAATAATGTGTATGTCTTACAACCCCACGTCTTTCTCCCTTTTATTTATCCGCTTTTGATGGTTAGATTAGGGACATGTTTCAATTAGCATACCTCATGCTTGCATCCATTCATTCGTATTGCATGCATCGATTCTCGTCCATCATTCAAACTACATTGTCATTTCAATACCTTCTTTGAATACGTGTTTAGACCGCATGTTATCGAATTGCTTCATATGTCATATTAGTAGCCGAGCCTAGTAATTGCATTATTGAATGTATTGCATTAGACATTTGGCATAGTTAGGAATCATGCATATTTTTCTAACTCTTTTGTTTTATCTTAACTCGGAGTACTATGTGAGTTTTTAGTGCTTTAGCATACTTAAATGAGTGTGAGTGATTACCATGATTAACATGCTTGCCATGAGGCTAAATACTTACTTGCTAAACTGCTTGAATGCCTGTGGATGAAGACTTGTTGCTTGAATTTGAATAATTCAGCGAATGTACGTTTTTTTAAGCCCACTTTGTTGAGTGGCAAATTTGCAAACTTTAAGCCCACTTAAGGTGGCAAAATCAAACCTTTTTCCCAAAACACACATGAAATTGAACTATTCCAACTCGAGCAAACTAGTTTGTACTTACTTGTGCACATCACATAATAAAGCTAGCCTAATAACCGAAACAAGAGCACATAATGTTTATAAAAAAATCATATCATAATTAGTAAAGGCCGATCTTTGATTGGGCGAGCGAGGGTGCTCAATTCATGACATTCCCTTCTCATACCTAAGTTCCCGAGCCGAGGCAACTCTGGTGATAATGGACACGTGGCCTTTGGCATGAGTCATGGGTTTTTTAAATTTTTTCAAAATAAAATATTTAGGTGACGACTCTGTATTTGGCAAAGCAGTCCATTTTTTGGCAATTTGATTCAAAATCAATTTTTCAAAAGATTTGTCGGATTTGGACTCTTTAGTGTTTATCAATTTCTCATTGCACTTGTGAGATTAGATTCAGAACCGTGGGAGTTCGAACTGTACGGCTTCTTTCGAGCTTCCGAAAGAGGGCGCAAAAAAGCTGAGCTACAAGTATAAAATCTTCTAATATGAAAATCTTTTTGGGGTGGGGTGGGTGTATTCAAATTTGTGGTGGATTCTGATATGAATTTTTTTTTTATTTGGAATGACTTGAAATGTGAGATTATTCAAATATTTCAAAGTGAGCATAAAAAATCCTTAGTAAGTTTTGGACAAATGTGTAAGTTTAAACTATGAACATTTTAGTCATTTATGGGTATTAACTACCATCTACGTGAAAACTGGAGTTATACTATCATTTCTACACAAATAGAACTATTGGATTTATTAAATTATTTGGACTACTTATTGCTTATTATGATATGAAAATGAGATTTATTAGTATTTCCCTTTATTTAAGATACGTTCACAATAATATAAGGAAAAATATTTTATTCAATCACATATTTTGTACTATTTTAAAAGGATAATGCCAATTGATAGCTCATTTTGTCATTAGCCTCAATATATGTGCAAAAGTATATAAACGTGTAGAAATAAGTACATACATTTTGAAATATATGAAAATTATATTAAGATTGTAACTATTATGCATTCAAAAGTTCTACTTTGTAAAAATTGAAAACAATGTGGTATATAATAGTTGAGTTTCACTTATTTGTCTTTTTTGAACTTTTGTTAAGTGGAAGATGATATATGTTAAAGTATATAATGAAGTAATTCATGGCATCAACCTTATTATGATTATAATTATTATTTATATTATATTTCTTCTTTGTTGAGGATTTTTTGCTTATTTAAGACTTGTTTTACACTATATAAAGGTTTGTTGTGCTTATATTTCATTATAATCAATAATACACAGATTTTCTCTTACCTCTTGCTTATCTCTTCATACAATTGTATTGACACGGTATCGAAACTATAAGATACAACCTCTTTGGAAGGCTTGGGTGGTTTGCATGACATATCACTATGCTTACCATGATAGAGGTATATTTATATTAACAATGATTTCATGACATCAAACATTATATACAATCTCACTTTTTAGACTTACTTTCTAAATTCAATGATGTGTAATAGAGATAATTGACTAATAATTAGAAAAGATATGAGATAGAAAGTTAGTTTAGATATTTTAATTAATTGCCATATCATTGAATTTGAAAAGTGAGTATAACTTTGAGGCTTAAACAGTAATGTTATTAATTTTGAGTCAAATTTTTTTACTTTTAACTTGGTCTCAACTTGATTCTACCAATAAATAAATAAATAAAAAATAATCAATTTTAAAAATATATATATCGAACACATTCAAATTTTATCCCAAAAAAAAAATTTTAAATCTTACAAAATTAAGCTAATATTTGTCTTTTCTAAAATGTTTATAAAAGGTTAAGTTTTTTAATTTATAGGATCGTTTAGTCATGACAGATCTAGAAAGTAAATAAATTTGACATAATTTATAAGAAAAATCACTAAAAACAAAAATAAACCAATAAAAAAAATTATTCCAAAAAAAGAACTTAAAGCTTCTCCTCTTTGCTAGCTTCCAGTGAAATACCTCTGAATCACACTAAAACACACACACACACACTCTCTCTCTCTCTCTCTCTCTCTCTAAAACAAAGGTGCGTAAAGATTATCTTACTTTTGTTATACAATTATTGTGTGTTTGCAACCAAATGTTCAATTTGATCTATTTGTATTCTAGTTTTATTACATTAAATTTTATTTATTTATTTATTTATTATTTTTTTGTGGTTAGAAAAAAATGTTCTATATGATATTCTTTTGGTCATGTGAAGTTCTTTGAAATCGATAGATCTGATCAATCTTTGCTGCTTTTTATGATTTATCTAAGAGAGTGAGCTTGTTATTGGCATTAATGTTGAGATTTTTGGGTTATTAAGTGGTACTACATTTATAGTTTATAATATTCATGGATTTTCTCTGTTTCTTTGTTGAAGCATCCCTCCTTTTTGTTAATCACACTACACTACTGCAAAGTGCAAACTTATATTAGCCTCTTTCTGGTTTTTTTTTTTTTTAATCACTGGTTGTTCGGATCAGCTTGCACACCTCGACTAATTCCAAAGCCTTGAAGTCAATGTGTTTTGCAAAAACAAAGAAAACAATATAAGGGGACACAGGTTTTCAAAAATAAGAAAACATGTTTAGTGAATTGTTGTCCGAGGGGGTTTGGCGGAAGGTATAGTCGAAGGAAGGGAGTGGCTGGAGGGTGAGAAAGGGAAGAATGAATCAAAACATGGGCCTATTTGGTTATTTTTTGCTTTCCTTTTTTGTGTTTTCAGGTTGAGAAAATAAATAAATAATTAAAATTTTAAAACACCCATCATTTTTATATTGTGAGAACAGTTTTTGAATTGAGAAAAGAAAAAATTTAGTGGTTTGGTTTGTTTTTAGATAGTTTCGACAAATTGTTTCGAAAATATTTTGCTAAACAAGTTTTATGCATTTCCTAAAAATGAAAATAAACACAACTAAATAGGAAAATGCATGAGACTCACTTATGCCATGTAGTAAAAAAACATGAGGAAAGAAATATGATTATATATAACATTTTTCCATAAATAAAAAAAAAAAAAAAAAAAAAAAAAACGTTACCAAAGGAGGGTGCATTATTTTTCTCCTTTTGTCTTTTTCAAATAAACCCATTAAAGAATGAGCTAATTCAATGCAAAGCTGGAGTTGTAACTTGAGGATTAGGTGGTTAGGCCTGTTTGATTGTGGTTTGGTTTTTTCCAGTATTTGTTTTCATTTTTGCTGTTTACAGAGACAAAGTTGAATAGTTTGAAACATCAGTTATTTTTCATATCCTTCTCATTTACACGCGAAAATAGTTTCCTAGAATGTCAAAATAATTTTGGTGTTTCCTAAAATTGGTTAATTTTTCAGAATGGAGAAGGGAAAGCACATAGGTTCACAGCAGCTAATTCCATCCGTCTTTTCCGGAAAAGAAACAAATGTACCTACACCTGCTGCAAGTAATGATGTTGTTATGAGGAAGATAGAAAATCCACTCGTAGATGGATCACAGACCTATGAGTGGACTTCAAGGGTGAAGCACGAGGACAAGAAGAGTGGCAGTTACGAGCGATATACCACAAAGGAAAAGGCCTCCAAGGGTGATCTTTATGTGGAGAAAGGAACCGGACAAGTTGGCGTCAAGGACGAGTTCAAGAAGAGCTCAACCATCAGGGTTGGTGACAAAACTGGTTACACTGAGTACCACACTGAGCACAGGGTTCGAGATGTCAACTATGGCAAGAGCACCAGCACCAAATATGATTCGGACTCTGACTATGGTTGTGGCTACGATGACAGTGATGATGATGATTACTACTATTAGGGTCTGAAAATTCTATTGTATGCATTCCTTATGACCCATACTATTATGGAGTGTTTGCTAAGTTCTTTCTGGGTTGTTATGTGTGCTTTTATTTTATTATTATGGTAGTTCCTTCCTAGTAAATAACTTTCTTTTCCTTATGGTATTTCTAAGTACTCTGTCTGTTTCCACTGTGATCCTTCAAGTTTCCTCATTGATGTACTTGAAATTTTAAGCAGCTACCATTTGTAGATGGTTAAATGTTGTGCTAGTTTTAAAATGCCTCTTTGTAAGATTATTTGACTGCTTGGTCTATATCTAATATAATGCTGTTGTTATTACTACTGACTATTAAGATTCAGAAGATTGCAATGGTTTGATTAATTTCATTTTTTCAGTTGTCAAATTTTAATGTAGACTTGCTTGTTTGCATTTGATGAGTTTCTGTTAGTAAAATTCTAGTTTGGATGTGATCGACAGAAGTCAATCGACAGACTCGGAACCAAAACCTCACAAAAACACAAATAAAAATCAAGCAATATGGTTGAGGCTTATGCCTTGACTGATTCATAGACTTCTCTGGAGTACAATGATGAAAAGCAACATACTAAAACTTGTATTAAAATTGTCACTAAATACAATAACAAAGAACAAATTACAGACTAAGTTCCTAATCACAGAGCAACTACTCCTAAGAAAATTAACTACAACTACTCTTATTTCCAGCATTTACAGGCCTAGTTTCACAACTGCCACAAAACTGTTCCATTCTTCAAAAACGGGTGTAAGCATGACTTTTGCAACTCCACATTTCTAGCAAGAAGTCTTTGTGTGACACATGTCTTCTAAACATGGTGCCATCATAGGTTGGGAAGGCCAGAAATGATAAAAAAAAATTAATAATGTTTCAGGTGGTTGGGAAGCTATAGCGATCCCGGTTGTCCCTTTACTGTTCTGTTGTATTCCGGACTCGGTTCCGTGAAGTTGGTAGTTGTATCTATCTGGTTGTCGTCCTTTAATTCCATTTGTGTGAGTTTTAGGATGTTTTGGGCAAGGTTGTTACAGGTTGGTTAGGCCTTGGTTTCAATTCTTTGTTGTCCAGTTTTTAGGCGTTCCGCTCGAGCAGGTTTCTTGCGCTCGAGCGGGTCGCGCTCGAGCGGTATTGTTGGAGCTCGAGCGGGTGGTCCTTTTCCGGTAAAGTTCTGAGTTGAAAATCTGCGCTCGAGCGGACTGGTTTTCACGCTCGAGCGGATGTGTTTTTGCTTTTCTTTCTTGGCGCTCGAGCGGTTATCTATGCGCTCGAACGGGACCAGATGTTTGCGCTTTACGCTCGAGCGCTCTATTCTACGCTCGAGCGGGTCATGCGTATATGAGTTACCTGCTGGGTCTTTTTAAATCACTTTTTCACTTTTCTTCTCTCTCTTACTTTCCAAAAACCCCATTGTTGAGCTTCTCACTCTAGAACTCTACCTTTTCTCTAGGTATTGATCTAGTAGAAGTGATTTCCTCACGTTTGGCCTTTATTAAAAGGTTGTTGATCGTCGAGGGCTATCTTTTGATCCGAGAAATTCGTGGTTTGGAGCATTTTCGTTCTCTTCACCTTCTTGGTTGGGAGTCATCTTTTGAGGTAGGGATAACCTACTCCTCACTATGGGTTTTGTCTTTAAATTTTAGCATTTTGAGATGTTGGGGTTGGGTTGGTAATTTTGGGAAAGTTTGGGACTTTTGTGTAAATTTACAAAAGTTGGGGTTTTAGCTATATAAAACCTAGATGCATGTTTGGCATGGAAAAGTGAAATTAATGTTGAAACATTAATGAAAATGGAACCTAAGGGTTGTAAAGATACCAGCACCTATGCCTCAGTCATGGTATGAAACTCCTTTAAGACCAATGGCCACTTAGAATGCACCATTCTCTACCAGCGAAACCATACAATTTGATGGATTCAGGCCAGCCCAGGGTAATGGTATGAGAGCATTTCCAAATCCTATGTTTGAAAACATGCCTGGCACAAGAGGTTTCACCAACCCTGTGTTTGAATGTGCACCCGGGGGGTTAGAAGGATTTCCTACAGTTGGAAGAGAAGCAACACTTGCTTCTCCTCCTGTGGTACCTTTCACAGGGCAGGCCCCAAGAGGCCAGCCATACCTTTAACAGTAGCTAGTACAGTAGGGACAACCAGCCCTGAATGTACCCATATATGGACCAAGAGGCCCACAAGCACATGGTGTTCCTCCAAACCCTATGTTTGTCCCCCCAGTAATGGTTCAACCAGCACAAAATATGGTTCCAAGGGACCAAATTGCTAATATAGTTAGAGAAATGTGTGGACAAAAAGAGAGAGATCCCCACTGTGAATTATCAAAAAGAAATCTGGGTCAGAATCTGGAGGAGGAGGAGGAGGAGGAAAGATAGGAAATAAATGGCATCAAAAAAAATGATAATCAAAACTTATATATACATATATGCATGCACATACAACTCTCTTCGTCTCTCTCTTTTTTTGAAACGCGGTTGCCACGCGGCCTGACTTTGTGTCAATTGGCCAACAAAAGCCGCTCGCCTCGGCTTCTCTCCCTCCTTGTCCCTTCTTCTCTTCACCTCTTCTCTTCAGTCTTCTTCTTAATTCAACAATCATCTGCTTTTTCTTTCTTCACCTCACTCTTTTTCTATCTCTTTCTTTATCATTCTCTTCGATCCTCTTCTTCCCAAGAGACAGAACAGAGAGACTGAGCAAGAAGCAGAAAGGCTCCAAATAACGACCCTTCCTTTCGATTACATCTCTCTCTTCTAAACCATGGCCTCCTCTATCCTGTCCTCACTCTATTTCCCGGACCTGAACGTCCATAAGTCTGTTGGACTGAGTGCCCCTACTTTCTACTTTTCCTATCAATTCCTCTTCCTAACCTTCCTATGATGTCGATTGAGAAATCAATGGCAGCTCAATCTGACATAGAGCCAATCATTTCACACTGACGTCCTGTTGGAGACGTGACTGCAGTCCAAATTGGTCACCGATTGCAGAACAGGACGAGTGAGCCTCCAATAGATATCAACACCGAACTCTCTCTACTCCAGCGCATGTAAAGGATGACCGCGAGCAGATAGGCCGCACTGAAGGCCGAAAATAAAGAGTTTAAAACCCAAAAAGAAAAAACCCCCCTTTTAACCTCCATGGCCGATTTGAAGCAACAATTGTTCTTAGCCTTTGATGTCAGCAAGGAGTCGTCGCTCTTTGAGAAGCACGGGGGCAGGGCGTCAAGGGTCGGCTAAAGGTGATAAAAAAAAAAGAAGAAAGCGGATGGAAGAGGCGAGTAAGTAAGATTCGACATACGGGGAAAAAAAAATGAAGGTTTGGTTTTTTTTTTATGTTTATTTGAATCGGCGTGTTTGTCGTAAAAAACAAATAAAGGTGTTTTTTTTTTTGGTTTTTTTAATGTAAATATTTGATATTTTGAATTTTGTTGCTGTGTTTATGTTTTAAGTACTGAAAAATGAAATTAAAAGTCAAAGAAAAAAAATAAGAAAATTAGCGCTAAACAAAAATAATTAATGGAGAGACCAAATTGTTAATGAGTATATGAGAAGCAATTGAGCATGATTTAATTCAATTTCTTAGCAAGAGCATACAATCTCTAGACTATAATAGACATAACGTGCATAGATCAAACAAGGTGTCAGCTCAGAGCATAATACTGGAGCTATAAGTTCAAAGTCACTCTTCCTTGAGGAAACGATCTTTCCTCTTACATTAAATTCAATCAACTAATTCAGCTCAAAGGTCATGTGTAGAAATTAAGATACCAAAAGGCATAGAGTACCAAAATAATAAAAGATACTAAAACAATCAAGTCTCTTTTTCTCCGCCCGATGAACATTTTAACAAATCAAGCAACAAAAAGGAGTATGGTAACAACATATGGGTGAAAGAATGTAAGTTCTCATTAATAGCACAAATAATCATCCATATCAAGGTACTCTATGACCCAAAAAAAATGATAGCAATAATGAATCATACAATTTGAAGCTCATACCATTTGACAATAATGGTAAAAAAAAAAAAATAAGGAACATGTGAAGGTGCAAAGCCATAAGTTTGATATCAAAATGAAATAGAAATTGGAGGAGATTTTAAAATAATAAAGTAAAATTTCTTCCACTTGTTTCATTGGCAAAATCAATGGAGATATGAATAAATGAAAGCTCATAACTGAAATATTCTCCTCAATAATATCAATGGATGCAAATGTGACCATAAGATGCCAATAATGATACCAAACATGCATCTACGCAAAAAGGAATACCAAAGCAATTTAGAAGATTTAACCATCATAACTCAAGCATTATGCAGATACCAAATATTGCTCATAATAGGTTACTCAATATAGTTCAAGGAGCTATGTAAATCCAAAAAATGAATGCATGTTCCAAGGTTATAACAAATCTATATGCCAAGAAAATCATGAGTTTCAATATATAGCACACATTTTAAGCATATGCATGATTTTTAGGCAAGAGCATCATTAAGAGTATAACTTGCATAAATCATATGAAGCATAATCATCTTTTTTCATATCAAGTAATACACAAGTATTAGCTCAATAAGTATAAAATAGATTTTACCTCAAAAGCTTAAGAGAGTAATAATGAGGGCATACGTTAGGTCAAGAGTGGAAGCTATCTTCAATCTTCAATTTTCTTTTCATGAGGAGTTCATACCTCAAAAAAGGGTTTAACAAGTATGTTTAGCAAATAATTTCTCCCTCTAAGTTAGTGCTACCCTTTTTCTAATGTGATTTGTGCTAAATATAGCATTCATTTAGAATCAATCATATTACTCAATAAAAATACGGCACAAATCACTTCTTATCAACAAACTCAAAAAGTGAAAAATAATTTAAATGAATCAAACAAGAGTTTGGAATGCTATTTTTCAGAATTTTCAAGTTGTAGTACATATAGAATATCGCATAAGAATAATGTTGCCTTTGTTTTAAAAATAATGCAACCAATCTCATTTTATCACATAAATTATCAGAATGCATTTTTATCAATTCAATCCAACATTACTCCAAGTGTGAATAAAATATTTTACTCAATTGGAACAACATCATGAATGCTATAACAATTAATTCAACAATTTTATCAATCAGAAAGCAATTTCAGCAGATGTATGCCAATATAATCATATTCAAAAGATTCAATAGGATAGATGCAATGTCTCTACAAACGTATGATACTTCTTTTCATATTAGACTTGTTGATGATCATATTTAATGAATTTCATAACTCAATTCAAAAATATAGAATAGTACACATCTCAAAAACATTTATGATATCAAA